AATAAAAATGTAAGTAATTATCAGAATTGCTTTTATTGAAACAAGTTAAACAAATTTTTTTTTCTTATTTTCTTTCATTAATTTAGACAATCTTATTTATTTAAAGTAATGACTAAATTATTACACATGCCAACAAAATTTGATTCAATTTACTTTCTAAGAATCAGACAATACTTTTCCGTAGGTTTTCGATGTGCTGCATCCGAATCCGGCCTCAGAATAGACTCTTGCAAAATCACTCATTTTCGCCACTAGTTGCACAATGTATTATTATTCATAAAATATGCCTCTTCTTAATTAAATTGGATTAAAGATGGAGACTAACAATGGATATAGTAAATGAAATAGGAAAGAAAATGTTTATAACATTTAAAAATTAAATATTAGTTAATTACATTTTCTAATTTTAGTACTTAATGAGTGGAAATATCTCACAGGTCTCCTCAGAGGTGGGCAGGTTATTCTAAAATGTAACGCTACAAACTTGGTGGAGAGTTGTTCCAAATGACTTCCAGATTCCAAATTTTCAAACCGATAAATCGTACCTGATCCTCTTTTCGAATTATCTCTTTTACAGATAGTCGGAAACTTGAAAATGTATTATCTTAATGTGGAAGCTGTGATTCAGAAGACTGCTGATTTTTCGTTATTAAAAATTTTTTAGACAAAGATTTTATAAATAATTACATATGTTCATGATTTTGAAAAAAGTGGGGGTTGGGGAGAGTGGGGCAAGACTGAGCACTTAAGGATTAAAGCGCAAAAAAACGAAAATTATCGAATATATATTTTATTATTTTATTTAATAACCATCTTTGGGAATCAGTCTTTAGTAATAAAGGCGTACAAAGGCCATCTGTTTCTTAAAAAAATCATAAAATTAATAATATGGAAAAAATTTCGAATCTCCCCATCTTGCCCACCGGCGCGGTACTAAAAAAGCAACCTATTTCTGTCGACAAATTTTACAAGTAAAGGTTGCATCTTCACCTTCGTCATCGACACCAGCACAACTGCACAAAGCCCATTGACCGCAAACAGAATAAGCAGCCCAGCCTTCATTTGAGTCCAAATAATAACCATTACAATTTATAGAGACAAGGTGTATTTTCCGCTTTACCATTGCTAATTATTAATTTAACCTGACAAGCTTTTTTCTTTTTGGTCACTCTTATTTTATTCAGTCTTGATTTAAGTAGTTTTCTTAACTTCCCTTATTTCTCTTTTCTTTTGCTTCATTTGTGTACCCCATCTTGCCCCACTCTTCTCTACCCTATCTTTCCCGCACCTACGAAATTGAATAAAATGATTAATTACTACAATTTACTATTCAACATAGAAAAAAACATATGCTTCCCTTCTTCTGTAACCCTTGCCAGTTATAAATTTTTTTATATAGTTCATTAACTGTTATTATTAAATAAATAAACACCTCCTAAAAAAAGTGAAAAATTCACAAGAAAATCGTCGAAAACAGTTTTTTTAGTAAAACAGATAAAAGATTTGTTCTCATGGCTTTTAGGTTTTGTAAACAAGAAACTATCATCTTGGTGCAGTATTATGTAAAATATAATGGTGATTGGTTAATTCGTTTGTTAAATAGGGCCGGTACCCCGTCTTGCCCCACTCTCCCCTATAAGTCCCAAAAACACTTTTTAGATTTTGTAAATACAACTGTTTTAAAAAATGATTGGATTGGTTTAAAATTTGTTACTCAGGGGTTTCGGGGTCGCTGATTGCGAATATGATGTCAAAATTAAAAAATCTGTGGACAGATTTTTAAAAGTCGATCACCATATTGGATCCAACATTTTGAGTTTTAAAAATCTGACGTCATATTCGTAATCAGCGGTCCCGAAAATCCCCGAGTAACAAATTCTTAGCGAATCCAATAATTTTTTAAAATAGTTGTATTTAGGTCAATTTGTATTCAAGACAACTGTTGAAAAATTAATTTTGACAGTTAATTTAGTTTGTTGTTGTCAATATCGCTATATTTTCGTAAAGTAGAGGGTTCAAGCTTTAATTTAACTCATATGACAAGTCTCTAGCACGTCGGATTTACCCAGTAGAAATTTTCAAAAACTACTAAAAAATGATTTTTGGGTATTTTACCCCCAATTTTCTCAAAATCCTGACGTGATGGGAGGATTTAGTTAAATGTTAATTCGGATTTAGCGCACCAAAAGCTACGGTAAATGACTTCTTGATCTCAAACAACGGAAATTTTTATTTATTTGCAGGCTTCTGAAATTATATATATATTCATATAATATATAGCACTTTAACATGTGACAGACGTGTCCAAATTCAAAAAGTCAAAAAGTTTCTTGAAGAAGAGACAATTTAAAACCATAATTATCTATAAAATCTTTGTCTAAAAAATTTTTAGTAACGAAAAATCAGCAGTCTTCTGAATCAAAGCTTCCACATTAAAATAATAAATTTTTGAAGTTTCCGACTATCTGTATAAAAGATAATTCGAAAAGAGGATCAGGTACGATTTATCGGTTTGAAAATTTGGAATCTGGAAGTCATTTGGAACAACTCCCCATCAAGTTTGTAGCGTTACATTTTAGAATAACCTGCCCACCTCTGAGGAGACCTGTGATCTAGAAATAACGCAAACTTATGAAAATAAAAAAAATTGCACACGAGAGGAATTTACATGACCGTTGGTCCATCTTTGGTCCACAGTTGTGCCAACCATCATAAAGTAAGATTCTCAGAGCCCAACTTTGGGTGCCGAAACTTAGGCTGACACAGTTGGCCCGACGTTTCTATACTGTGACAGCCGACCGAAACTCGCACCTGGGCAGCAACCCCAAAATCCTAAGAGCACCCAGTGTTTCTCAAATCGAAGTAGATTTAGTATTTTATTCCTCCATGGAATTAGTCACTTTTGACTAATTAAATAAGACCGGTTCGTTTATTATTAAGGTACTACTACACTTTAGAAGGCTCTTCAAAGACCAAATTTAAAAAAAAATTTTCTTAGGTCTTTTATTATAAATATTTAAAAAACTTTTTTGCGTATATTAGTTCATATTTTTTTTTATTTTTTGACCATTTTCTGGTGAATTCTCACACAGGACATGCTAACAAACAAAACGAGTTATTATTTATTAAAATCGGTTCAGTAGATTCAGAGAGAAACTGTCCGCAATTTGAGAAAACGTTATTTTGAGAAAAACGCGTTTAAACTTTATATGTATCGTTAGAGGCTATCCATAAATTACCTAAAATTCTTTTGCAAATTGAAACCCCACCATTTTTTTATGTCAGACACTGTTACATACATTAGCACCAATGTTTCTACTGGTCGTAACAAAAAGCTGGACCCCACCATCCCCTTAAAGACTTACTTAATTTGTCAATGACTTTTTACATTAATTGAATATTTTTTGAAAAATTTACTTTTATTTTTCACAATTGGTTATAAATACTTGAGGAGGTGTTTTCTGAAGTCATAAGCAGTTAAAAAATACAATAAAAAAAAAAATTTTTTTTAAGTTCTAAAGTGTAGTAGTACCTTAAACGTTTTGACTAATTTCTAACATAACGCTACTAATTTGTAGTAGAAAACTACTAATTCAGTTATTAAACCAACTAAATCGTTTAATATTCGTTGCTAATATTTAGCCTTTACAAATGAATTAGTACACTAATTCATGGGATGTCTTTAGGACATCCTGAGCCCTAGTAGAAATTTGTCATTTTGTAACTCGATTGTTCAAGTTACTGGACAGTTTTTGTCACTGACGCTGATTCTAGTCGGACTGGTAAATAACTGTAAAGTTACTGACCAACCCTCTTCGTCAAAGATTTAAGTTGAATTTGATATTGGCTAGACATAACTTCTGTCTAGTTTTTTTAATGTTACTTTAAAGTACTCCTATAAATTATAGTTCTAAGTTTGTCGTGTCGATGACACTGCAATAATGTCTAATAACTAGACAGCTTGACTGATTATTTGCTAGAGATAAATTTGTTCTTATTCTTTCCAATATTTTAAAACTTTTAATTTTAATTTATTATTAATTAAAAATTTAATTAATTTGTTATTATAAATTAATAATATTAATTAATAAAATTAATTAATAATAAAAAATATTAATAATTATTATTAAAATTAATTAACAATATTAATTAATAAAATAAATTAATAATATTAATAATTAATAAAATAATTAAATAATATTAATTAATAAAATTAATTAATAAATATTTACAATCATTTATAATAAATATAAAAATAATAAAATTAGTTAAAAATTAATTTTTTTAAATTCCATTTTAGTTTAATTATAATTTTCTATTAATTAAAAATTTAATGAATTTATTATTATTAATTAATAATCAATTAATCATATTAAATAATAAAATTAATTAATAAATATTTATAATAATTTATAATAAATTAATAAAAATAATTAAAAATTTAATTACAGTAATCAATTTATTTATTAATTGTTAACGTTGCAAATTAAATTACTAAAAAGTTATAATAATTAAAAAAAATCATCTAAAATGTTTTATTACATAGAAAACATTAAAAGTATATACCAATGCTTAAAATCTCTAGTTACGGCACTGAACTGAAACATATGTGCAGTGGTTATTAATTCTCAGTATCCATTGCGTTGAACGGCCGAGTCCAGCGGGACCCGGGTTCGCTCCCCGTTACCCCCCAAGATTTTTTCGGTGAAATTTCGTTATCGTTTTAAGGTTTATATAGATTATAATTGTTTATACTAATAAAAAATATTTGTTTCAGTGTTATTGTTAATAATAGTGCATTAAAAAAATGAAAGTTGTTTGAAAACAGTAAATATTTAGGATATTCGAATTTAGAATTTTTTTTAATTGAATTAAAAATCAAAAAGTAATGTAGAAAATTACATGTAATAATTTAATATTTACATTATTTTTACATACTAATTGAACTAATTAATTAAAAATTATAATGCTAAATAGAAATTTTAGATTAATTGCATGAAATAAATGTGTTAACTACAGTAAATCTTAATATTAAACAAATTTTCAGTATTTTAAAAGAATTAATTTGTCTAGTTTTTCTACAGAACCGTTGAACAGAATTTATAAAGTTGGGCTAGATAATAACTTGATGAAAAAAGCGTGACACTCCGTTCCAGTTATTAGCCAGTTGGCTTGTAAAGTAACTAGACAATTTCAAGCGCGACTGGACAGTTCCTTTATAATAACTAGGACAAATTTCTACTAGGGAATCGGTACTGTGGAATTATTCATAAGTGACTAATTCAAAATTAAAGAAAAGATATTCTAAGTTTGATTTAAGCAACATATTTTTGATTCAAATAAATGGTTTTCACAGTGAAATAAGGATCTTTTTAATACTATAGTAACCGACTAACAAAATCTGACTAGTTGGATAGTCGAAAATTACTAACTTAAGTATATCGATTTCTAAATTCAAATTAGTAATCGCAAGAAGTTTCACTAATTCATTACTTAATGAACGAACCGGTTTAACCGATTTAAAGCGAAAACTGACTATTTTCGCACCTTGTAAATATAAATATATTCAAAGATGTTGATTTTTTTATCGTTTTAATTAAACAGAAAGAGGGTCAAGTGAGGAACGGGAAGGGGGTTATTTGAGTCTAACAAAAGATTAAAAATTCCCGTTTTTCTCAAAGGAAGATTGAATCGAGCGAGTCACCAGGTGCAAATAAAGTAAATCCGTTCCTGGTACTCTGGATCGACGGTAGTGGGAAGCGGCAGATTCGTACGTGTCTCGGGGACGACACCACTCGCGCTACCCGGCTTTGAGGAACGCGCCAGTCTGACTTGGAACTTGGTCCGTGTCGGCGCGCATTCTCTAATGCTCAGTTTATCGTGTTTCCACCCCAAACACGCGGGTGAATGTCATTTTTCAACCCTCCCCTCTCCATATACATACACACACACACTCGACAAAGTGCGACGCAATAGAAAATAACTATCCTCGACATTTCAAGTATACATGTATATAGAGCCGCGGAAATTCAATTGTTACTATTTTTCTCGCCCACAATAACACAAAATAAGGTATTATTATTTATTTCTCTACAATAAAAAGAAGATATTGTGTGGTAAATTCTGTGAATTGTTGGTCATTTCAAAATTGCATTTTAAAATAAGGTGTTTTGGTTTTCTCCAATAGAAATATTTGCCGCGCAATAAATTTATAATAAGGTGCCAAAGTACTATCTTTTTGTTTCTTTTGCGAAAAATAATGTGTTTTCAGTTATAATTAATGTTGCAAGTGATTATTGTTAATGATAATAATTGGATACAATATTTTAATGTACTGAAAATGACAATTTGACAATATGAGTGAAAATTGATTGATGGTTGTTTAAAAAAAATTGAAGAGGTAAAGTGAGTGTAATATTTAATTGCTGTATTGTAATTGTTATTAATTATTATTTAATGTAGTATAATCCAATGATTATATTGGATTATAAAAAGCCCTCTTGGAAAAATATTTACGCTGTTAAATTTAATCGATAACAACAGATTGATCAATGCATTGGGTTTGTTGTCAAATGATTCACACGTTGTTTTATGCATACGCTGTAATAGTTACGCAATGAGAATTGTGACTGTTTTTGTTTTTAAATTTGAAGAAGTTAACATTTTCATTTTTTTTTGTTTTTGTTTTGAAAATTGTAATAGACCATTGTTGGCATGGTTAGTGTTAAAGGGTATTAATTCAAATGCTTTTTTTACGCATATTTCGCTTTTTACACATCATAACAAAAATTTATAATTAAAAAATTCAATCGTTTTTAAAACTGATAAAAAGCAACAGCATTTTTTCAAAAATAGTACAAACACAATTTTTATTAAAAGCTCGGTAAAGTTTTGTTATGAATATTTTAATATTGTCAATACTTATTGTTAAGAATTTAAATGTAATTAATAATTATAAATTGTAATAATTTATAATAATATTAATATTATTAAAACTTTTATTTTTTTATTATTTTTAATTTTATTTTTATTATTATTATTATTATTATTATTATTATTATTATTATTATTATTATTATTTTATTTAGTAAGCTTGTAACAAATTTCTTAAAAGTCAATTCACTTTGATTAGCTTTTCCCTTCTATTGTTAGAGAAACTTTATTTGATGCAAAAAATTGCATAATTAACATTTACGAATGCAAATTGACTGAGATGATTGCAGTTTAACATTAAATGTTTCGAACATTAAAGTATTTCGCGATTTTTAATTGTTAAACATCAAACATCTTTTTTGATATCTGCCAATATTCATTATAGGTGATAATACTTTACAACACTAACATTTATTAATGACAAGAATAATATAGATATAAGGTATCTATGTGTAAGAGCATAGAATCGATGATACTGCAAACAATAGTTATAAACTTTCGTTGAATTTTCATTTTTCATTTATTCAAAATTAAACGTTTTTCCTGAATGCATTATATTTTTCTTTCATTTTAACACAAAAAATATTTATTAAGTTTAAAAAACTTTGTATTATGTATGCAAAAATTGTATTTTTTTGCTTAACTTTTGAGTAATTTGTAAAATTAATTTACTAAAATTTTAATAAGTTTACAAATAGATTTTTTTACAATAGATGTAAAATTGAAATTTTTAGTTAAAGTTAATGAATTAAATAATAATTTATTATTATTTATTATCATTCGTTTATCATATATCATATCATATTCGTAATTTTTACTTTTAGTCTAATTAAATTATTCTTTTTTTTAAAGTTATTGAATAATTATTATTAAAATTAAAAATATTCTTATTTTAAATAAAATAAAAATTAAAAGCAAAAAGGAAATTTAAAAAACAGACTAGAACTGGAAAATCTGAGTCAATCATTAATTCACGCATTAGTAAAATTATACTAAAATTCCAGCCTTTCCGATTGGATTTGTATTTTGTTTTTTATTGACACCGCAGGAGAGAATATTCTGAAAGAAACAATAAGTGAATGTGCTTTCGTCGAAAATGCACTTCACGTACATGCGCGAATATTACAAGTAAACAAGACAAAGCCATTTTTGGACCTTATTGAAAAATGCTTTTTTTGTCTATACATATATATATGTGTATATACTAAGTAATACAACTTTTAAAGAGGCACTGGGTTTACCTGTGATTCTGACAACGTACTGACTCTCTCGCTTCACAAACCAGTCTGTATGCACCCTGTGTGTCTGAATTTCAAGTCGATATATCCCGGGCCCGGTTTTTCAGTTATACTCGTTTCTTTTAAATCAGCGCTTTCGAGCCACTATTTCAAAAGTACACGCAAAAATTAAACGAGTTTTAATTCCCAACATACATACATATATAGGTATATAATGTATTTAATAACATTATATTTATATATATGAACATCACATTTCGTTCTTCTCTCTGGGGAGTTGGAAACAAGCGGATAGAAATTTTCAAAATTTCAATAAAATTGGCAATTCTTTTGAAATTTAATTAATTTATGTTCAGTAAAACAAAAAAGTTGCATCATCATTTAACATTGCACAATATTATTTTAAGATTAATGCGCAATGTTACTCCAAAATTGCTAAGAAATATTTTCTCAACATTACAGAGCAATATTCTGAAACTTATAAAACAATACTTACATATTATAAATTGTTTCGATTTATTTCATGTATCACTGAAATAATTAATTTTCTTCATTGGAAATCTAATAAAAAAACGTTAACAAGATACGAGAGAAACGTAATTAATTTATTTATTGCGTTGATGAACTTGACATAAGAAACATTTGTCGGATATATGTTTTTAACTGGAATTATGTAACGCTTATATCATATTGGAACTGTGCATTAATGTTTATAAATTCATCATAAAGTCGAATTTTGATTTAACTAAAACTTTCAAAATTAGAATTGATTTAATTCATATTTCCGTAACAAAAATTCTTTCTAAAACCGAAATTTTACAATAAGCAGGTTCTTTGAATTTTTATAATAAAAATTCAGTTCGGTAACTAGATAGATGAAAACTGAAAATTTAGATCAAAGTCACAGATAACGAGGCAACAGTATCTTTTCATTTAGATTCAACGTCAGAAGTTTAATAAAATCCTAAAATTTAGATCAATTTTAAAGAGTTACCCAGGTAGAAATTTCAACTCTATAATGACCAGTTACTGGGAAGTTTTTCTAGATTCTGGCCAGTGATTGACCAGAAAATCTGGCAAGTGATTGATTAGAAATGTAACGCGCTGCTTTAGCAGTCACTGGTTAGATTATCTGTCCAGTGACTGGCAAGTAACTGGCCAGTAACTGGACAGTTTTCTGTTCAAAATTTAGAATAAAATATAATTTTTCCTGTTTTTTTTTATTTTGTTTATAATTACATATTTATCTATATTTTTGTGATTATTCAAATATTTAAGACTAATGAACAATTACTCTACCAATAACACTTAAATCCAAGTATGAAAAATTCGCACGGATGGGGGATCGAACCCTAGACCCTGGAGACACAACGCATGTGCGTTACCACGCAGCCACGCACTGCAAAAAGAGGTGTCTTGGGTGGAGACGTTTTTGGTGTCTTAGACACGAAAAACGTCTCAAACCAAGACACTTTTGGTATCTAAGACACCAAAAATGTCTTCAATCAAGACACCTCTTTTTGCAGTGCGGTGATGGTAACTTATAACTACAAGTTTAAGAACTGAAGTTTTATTCCGATTGTGACCAGAATTTCTGGCCAGTGACTTGTCAAAAGTAATGATCAGAAATCATGACCAGATACACTGCCCAGGTAGAAATTTCAACTCTATAATGACCAGTCACTGGGAAGTTTTTCTAGATTCTGGGTAGTAATTGACCAGAAAATCTGGCAAGTGATTGATTGGAAATGTAACGCGCTACTTGAGCAGTTACTGGTTAGATTATCTGGCCAGTGACTGGCAAGTAACTGTCCAGTAACTGAACAGTTTTCTGCTCAAAATCTAGAAGAAAATATAATTTTTCCCGGCTCTTTTTATTTTGTTTATAATTACATATTTATTTATATTTTTGTGATTATTCAAATATTTAAGACTAATGAACAATTACTCTACCAATAACACTTAAATCTAAGAATTAAAAATTCGCACGCATGGGGGATCGAACCCTTGACCCTGGAGACACAACGCATGTGCGTTACCACGCAGCCACGGTGACTAGATAGTAACTTATCATAACTAGAAGTTTAAGAACTGAAGTTCTATTCCGATTGTGACCAGAATTTCTGGCCAGTGACTTGTCAGAAGTAATGAATGATCAGAAATGATGACCAGATAAACTGTTTAGTCACTTGTCAGAGACTTGACGGCTTATCTTGTCAAAATTTAGAAAAATGTAAACTTTGGTAATGTGACAGTGAAACGATCATAACTTTTATATAAAGTTACTTTAGACTTTTCTGTTTTTGACCGTATGGAACATAAAAATTATTTTTAATATCTAATTCTAAATGATTGACTAAGAGTATTTTTATGGGATTGGTGCTTTGTTTTTTTCCTTAGTAACTGGTCAGTTTCTGTGTCCACAGTTTCTTTTTTTGATAGTGTCAAGATTTTCTGGATAGAGATTTGGAAAAATCTAGAATAATTCTTTTAATAGGATTCGGCAAGTTTTTCTGATCAGTGGTGGACCAGTTTTTCTAGGTGAATCTTAAATAATTCTTCAAATCAGTGACTGGCCAGTGTCTGGAAAGAAATTCTTGTCACGATTATGATGAGATTTTCTGGTCAGTGACTTGACAAAAGGTCAGTAAACAGGACAGTCTCAAATTGTAGGTCTAAATTCAAGTCAGGAGGTGAACATATTAACTCACTCTGGAAGTTTGGCCAAAAGGCGAGTACAACATTGATATTTAGGTCAAAGTATGAACAATAAATGTTGCAAGTTAGGTAAAAAATCATAAGTTAACCCTTACGAAAAAGTATGACATGTAATTTACAACACACGGAGAAAAAGGAATAGTTGACACATCCAGATACATGGATATCACAGCCATATTATAT